CGCAGGCTTCGGCGATGACGCAACCGGCGTGCGGAATTAGACCTGTGTATTTACACTCAGCCCGCGGGACTGAAGCGGTCCCCCGGCCTCCCGGTGCTCCCGGGAACTAGGAATTGGGAAGAAAGAAAGGTCGACAGGGTTTTAAAAGGGAGGAGGGTGCGCGAGCCGGAGGGGTTGAGGTGGCAGAGTCCCTGAGCTGCAGAGCTGCGACTCCAGGTGTACTGCTTCGTCCCACCCCCCACCCCATGCCTTTCACAGCGTGAGCTTAAATCATTTTCTATGAAACTGGTGACTAAGGGAGATGCAGCGCGTGAACCTTGAAGCCTCCCCAACCAGCCAGAAAGGGGAGACCCCGCCGGCTCTGGGCCCGGCCCTGGTACCTGTGCTGTCCGTGGAGGCGACTTTTTCCGATGCCTCCTTCGGTCCGCAAATTCCCTCCCAGGTATTTGTTGTGAAATCTGATGAGTGATGCACCCTCCTGCTCAAAGACTGGGCAGGCGACCCCTGCCCCTCTGTCTAGTAAAGCTTGGGGTCGCGCTACGCCCAGGTCTGGTTCTAAAGTGTGCCGCGGCTTTGCAGGTGGGACGCAAGGTGGAGGGGGCTCCAAGGCGAGGCCGCGTCGCTGCAGCTGTGCACAGTGTTGTGTTAAGAGTCAAAACAGAGGTTAGTTGAACCCGCGCCCTAAGGTCAGAGGTGAGTAAACTAATGCTTCCAGAAGTGGTGTGGTGTCCCCACAGGCAGCTAAGGACTCACTGGGAGCACACTTTGGAACAGTTAGGTCCTCATTTCTCCATTCCAGGGCCTTGGGTCTCAAACCCTGTATCATATTTCCACTCTCCCAGGAAGATTTCGAGGTTTAGTAAAAGTTCCTTGTAGATTCACATTCAGATCCCTTCAGATCTTAGGGTGGGTATTTCACTGCACTGTTTTACACTGTGGGTGATTCTGGAAGATACTCTGTAAGTACTAAATAGCAGGCTAAGAAAGGCAGTACAATGCTTTCGAGTCAGATCTTGCCATTTGATCTTAGTGAGGAAATGTGTAGAACATGTTCCATTCTTTATCTGGTGAACTGTTTGCTGGGACTACTATTCTGAAAGGAGTGTCTATCCGAAGAAATTGAGGGCACTGGGCCAGGAGAGCTGATTTTGGCTCTAACAGAAGTTACCAGTGTTAGCTTGAGCATGTTGCTTCCCTTCTCTGGACTTTGGCTCTCTGTCTTACAAGTATGAGCTCATCTTGCAGGGGTCCCTGGGTTCATGATGCTCCGGGAGAAGCCCAGGGAATGTGAGCACTCTCCGAGTGGGGAGCTGATGCCAGGTGAATCACACAGTGGTGACTTCATTGGCGACAGTGACCTCATCCCTCTGGCCCACAGTAATGTCAGACTGCCAAGAATACTGAGGGCTCTGGGCCCATTCCACCTGGCATGGAAGTGGGGTGGGAAGGGGTATCCGGGATGCCTCCACATCAACTCCTGAATGCAGACCTCCACAGGATCCCCCCCATCCCATGGGCACGGAAGATAATGCCCAAAGTGGTAAAAGAGAAACACACAAAACCCATTTCTTAAATGTCAGGGATTGGGACAGGAAGCAACTTTGTTTCTAAGCACCCCACAGATTCTCTGCTTGCTTTTTTCCTTTTGTTTGAACTGCAAATGTTGAAACAGACACAGGTCTGTCTGTGTGAGAACAGTGAACTTTTCTATGCAACCTTCGCCTTCCCTTTCTTTACTCCCTCCTTCCTCCTTGTAATTGATCCATTCAGCATTTCATTTAACAAGCATGTATTGAGGCCTACTAGAAGCCTGGCTTTATTCTTGAGCAGGGGAGGAGGAACTGGCAAGCCAGTCCCTGGAGGGGGAACGGAAAAGAACTGATGAGCAAACAGATAATTACTATATAATATGATCGGTGCTGTGGTAAAGAATAAAGCAAAGAGGAGGCAGTTTGCACAGCTCTGGATGTACTGAGGGAGGATTTGCAGAACCAGGGTCATTGCCCCAGGGTTTAAAAGGCTGATAGGAGTAAGGGAAGAATGCCCGTGAAAGGCAGAGAACCCTGCACCAGGACAAGAAGGAAACATACACAGCTTCCTAGGAGTGATGAGTCTTCTAGGGTGGACGGAAGGCAGGAATCTGGTTTGTGTTTAACTGGGTACCATATAATACAGCCAGTCCATGGGCTTCTGAAAGCTGCGTGAAAGCAGTGGCCCAGTTGGTTGGGCAGTGTGCATAGTTCAGAGATGAAAGGCCAGGGTTGAAGGGGCCTCTGGGGGAAAATCTGTCCCACACCCTACCCACAAAGGCACAATCCTTGTTCATTACAATAAAGGAGAGATCTTGTCACAGATGTAACTTCAGTTTATCAAACCCTGCACCCACAGAGGTGCATCCACCCAGAGGGAGCCACCTTTAGCTGCATGCCAAAGGATGAAAGTACTATCCAGGCAAACAGCCACCCCCAGAATGAGGATGTTGCTGTGGTAAAAACCTTAAATGTCTTCCAGAGCCTGTATGCTAAAAGCTTGGTCACTAGCCTGTGGCGCTACTAGGAGGTGGTACAATCTTTAGATGTGAGGTCTCTGGGGATGGCCCTCAAAGGGGATTTGGGATACTGGCCCCTCCTCTGTTTCCTGGCTACCATGAGGTAAGGAGGCTCCCTGTCGTGTGCTCCCCCGCTCCCTGCTATAATGTGCTGCCTCACCACAGGTCCACAGGCAACAGGGCTAAGGAGTCATGGACTGAAACCTCTTACACTCTGAGCCAAGATAAACCTTTCTTCCTTTTAAGTAGATTACCTCAAGTATTTTGTCACAATAGCAAAAATCTAACTAACCTGTGCTTGATGAAGGGAAGGAACAAGTATTTGCAGGGAATCTACTATGTAATATGGGACCTGAGCACTGGCCTGGGTACTTGATGTTCAGAATGTTGGTACCGGTCTTTGATTTTTTTTGTTTGTTTTTTTCCAGTGCTGAGAATCAAACCCAGGGCCTTGCACATGCTAGGCAAGCACTTTACCTATGAGCTAATTGCCAACCCTGTAGGTCATCATATTTCATCCCCAAAACAATCATGCAAGGTAAGATTTTTAGAGAAAAGAACTGTTTGCTTCTGCTCAATGATCTTTCTGACTTTATATCTGTCATCATGTGGTTTAATTAGAAGGCACCATCTTGTTATGGCAAAGTGGAACAGCTCAGCGTTACAGCCAAGTGTTACAGCCTGTGTTATAGCTCAAGTGCTGACAGCTCCAGCAATTTGAAGACTCGAGAATATGAAAGTTACTCAAAGAGATGGAGAAAAATCTTTATTAGCCAGCTAGCTCAGAGTATTCCCACTTAATATTCTGAGCCCCAATTTGAAATGGAAGTAGCCTAGAGATCCTCAAGGTAGAGGGGTGGGCCCATGTGCCAGGTGAGCAGGCTTACAGAAGCAGGAGGGTAGAGTTACAGAATATTCTTGAAAGTGGTGCCCTACCTGGTGAAGTTAACAACATTCTTGAAACACATAACTGGCGAGCATGCTCAGACAGTTACAGAACATTTTCATATATTGGGCAAGGACGCTGTACAGCTCAAATAGTTACAGTTCTGGAACAAAACATCTTATAGACTACTCTGATTGGGCTTATGATCCCTTCCCATCTCAGCATGGAGGTTCACTCCTACCCAGATTCTGTGCTTCCTCACTGTGGGTGGCAGGTATGGGAGGGAGTCTGTGTCGGGGAGGCTGCCAGCCTTGGTGTTTCTCAGCAGTCAGTGTTCCTAGCTACAAAGGACATAATCTGAGGAGAGAGACACATGTCAAGGGAGGGAGGAAGGAAGATCCATGTCAAATCCATGATTTGTTCCACATGTCAACCAGTTGCCTTGTGAATACAGGAGCCCTGCTTACTCCAAATCACCTATCCCTGATCTGGCTCTTCTCCTTCTCTGAAACTCTTTCTTAGGGATTAGCAATAAGGAAGTAAAGTGATTATCAGTCTTTTGTGTGGTGCTCCTCTGCTCTCCCATGATGCTTCTTTCTTCCACACATGACCCATATCTTCAGATTGTAGCCTCTTCCTTCTCCAGGGTGTCTTGCTATCCAGACCCCCTGGACTACTGTGCTAGTCACTTTTCTCATTGCTGAGACAAAAACAAAACAAAACAAACAAAACAAAACACCCAAAGTTAAAGGAGAAAAACTTTATTTTGGCTTACAGTTTGTAGAAGTTTCAGTCCATAGTTGGCTGGCTTCAAGGCAGGGTGGCATTGGAGAGGGGCGTCACAGAGAACAGTACAGTTCATGGTGGGCAGAAGGCAGCAAAGCGGCAAAGTAGTGAAGCGGCAAGTGAGAACACCAACCCTCTTTCTGTACCTTATATTCTAACTAGGCTACATGCCCTTAGGGCAAGTAGCACTCACACCCAAGGTGTGTTTTCCCATTATCCACACCAAACCAATCAGTGGGCTAATTTACTAATCACACATCCTTAATCCCAGCATTGCACACTCCAGACTCAGCCCTCTGCAAAACCCCACATTCGACCTCATGAGGCTTTGGGGGAACGTCTACATAAAAGCCATAACAACCACCTTCATTCTGTTGTGCCATTTGCTGCACCTATTTTTCTTTTCCTTCGCACTAACTACACTCATATGCATCCTTTTCTCTTTGGGCTTAGATGTGACATACATTGTATAATATTTTGTGCTAAGACAATGGCTTAAACGTTTCAACAGTTTCTTAAAGGTCAGTGGTCCCTAATTGTCAGCATGATTTAAAACAATTAATTTGCCCCATTTTGTTTTTATTTCCACTTAAAATATATCTACATCCATTTTTTTAATTCGTGACATCCCAGAAACTCAGACGTGTACCCTAGCCCCTGAGAATTTTGGTTTAAGCACCCTTGATAATGTTTTGTCATCTTCGTTTATGTCTTCTGTAACTTCAGTTCAGGAGACAAGTCATTCTGACTGGTGGCATTGTCATTCATTGCTAAATAGTAGGGAAAGACACTTCCTTAGAGGTTGCTGGAGTGAAGTAGTCATGTGATCTTTGCATGGCCCCTTCCCATTACCTCCAAAGAAGGCTGGAGCAGATGCCTCTTGTATCGGTGAAGTTAACCTTTTATCCCATCCTTCAGTTCTAAGAGTGCCAGAAAAATATCCAGGCTCACAGCTCTTCCTCCACAGCAGATATTTTGGCCACTGAACATTCAAAACCACATTTTGAGTTGGAGAATCTTCCACTTTGTGAGTCTCAGAGGTGAAAAGACAAGCCCTTCTACAAACTGGAAATTACGGGCTCTTGCTTTCCTTGCTTTTCAGACTCAAGAGCTAATGAAACTGAAGTTAAATTCAAGGTGCAGTCTCTGTGTCTCTCTGGGGTGTAACTTCAGCCTTGGGTACACAGTTCAGTTCCTGACATAGGATGTGGCATGTTGGGCAGGCACTGGCAGTGGATGTGGTATAATTGAGTTCAGAAGTGACAGCCGTATGCATGGTTTGTCTAGAGATTGGTGACAGCAATGGTACCAGAAGTAGTTTCTTACCAGAATAGTTCCTGAAGTATGTGTTGGACACCATTCCTGTCCTTGAGTAGCCTCTCTAGTCCTTTCACAGTCCTGCAAGCTACCTGTGATTCTTTTAGGTTTCTCTTTCTGTTTAACCAGCCTCAGACAGCTTCTGCTGCTTGCACTCAACCTATTGAGGAGTTGGAGAAGTAGATTACTGTATTGAATATGCCTCATGTGCAAAGACTATGTGCTAGACTTATGAGATAACTCAGACATTGTACGAGATGTATGAAGTCACAGTGCTCAGGTATTGGATAGCATGCAGCACAGGATTATGGTTCCTGAAAGACGTGAACAGAGGAGGCAAGTTCTCTACCACCCCAACTTCCTATGTGGACCTGCTTTCTGAACAGAAGCATACTGAGAAGGGACCCTGGCAGAGCACAGTGGTCTTGCTCAGCTGTTGAGGTCACTGGGGAGATTTTTCAAGGCAGAGTACCATGGATGAGGGAGTATGGCAGCAAAAGGGATCCTGAATCACCCCAAGCTGTTGCTGAATAATGCATTTCGTTAGTATACACAGTAAAATTTCACACGGTGAGGCATAGGCATACCAGGGAATTGTGAGGTGCCTGGCACCCAGACCTCACACAGAGCTGGGAGTTGTGGGATTTCAGCCAACCAATGCGAAGAAACCTTACTCAATGTCCGGAAAATTCAGTAGACACTGCATGAGGGTTATACTTTTTTTTTTCCGCCTGGAACCATGGATTGAACTGAGGACCTTGCATTTGCTAGGCAGGCGCAGCGCCACTGAGCCACATCCCTGTCCCCATGAGAATTATGCTTGAGGAGAAGGATTAAATTAGTCTTGGAGTAGAGGTAACTCCATATATCCCCCAACATGGTTTATAAATGCCTCAGAAAAAATCAAGCTCTTTCACTATAACCATAACTACCAGCCAAAACAAATCCATTATTTTTGTTTTTGTTTTTGTTTTGAGACAGGGTCTCACTATGTTGTTGGAACTCACCTGGAACTCACTAAGTAGCCCAGGCTGGTCTAGAACTCACAGAGATCCTCCTGCCTCAGACTCCCAAGTACTGGGATTACGGGCATGCGCCACCACGCCCAGCAAATCCATTATTTTTAAAGGACAACAAAATAGACATCTGTTATAGTTGAGATAAAAAGTATCCCCCAGAAGCCTCATGTGTTTGGTGAATTATGGAATGGTAAGTGGGGCACTGATCGGATGAATCCACTGATGTGGTCATAGCTGAATGTATTGTGAGGAGGTGGGGCCTGGTTGGAAGACGTAAGTCACTGGGGGTGTGACTGGGAAGGGTGTATCTCGTGCCATGCCACCTCCTTCACCCTCGGCTTCCTTGACGCTGTGACCCAAGCAGTTTTCCTTCACCAGACTCCTTCACCATGCCCTTCCAGCCTCGAAGCCAGCCAACAGTGGACTAAAATTTTAAAAACCATGAACCCAAATAAACCTCTACTCCTTCAAGTTTATAGGTATCGAGTCTTCTGAGGAAAATAGCTAAGACGACGTCCAATATCATAAAATTAAGAATGTTAAAAATTAACTGATATGCACATGAGTAGGGAAATTTAGCCCCAAATCAGAAGAAAATATAGTCCATAGAAACAAACCCAGATATAATGAAGAAAACAAAGTTAGCAGGTAATTATTTAAAAGGAAATTTAAAATACGCACAAGGATTTAAAGAAAAACACAAATGTTGAGAAAGGAAAAAGATGTTTAAAAAAGAAGCAAATGGAACTTTGTAGAGCTGAAAAATACAACACCGGAAAATGATTCACCAGCTGCTTTAAGAACACTTTGGACATTGTAGACCTCTGTGACATTGAAGACATAGCAGTAGGAACCATCCAAGCTAACACACCCGCAGAGAGAAACACGCACACATACAGAAGCACAGAGCCCCAGGGACCTGTGAGCCAATGTTAAATGATTTAGTGTACGCATATGATTGGAATCCCAGAAAAGGAAGGAGGGTAACTATTTGAAGACACAATGGGTAACTATTTGAAGATACAATGGCCCAAACTGTGCTACATTTAATGAAATTATAAATTTAAAGATCCAAGAAGCCCAGCACCCAAAGCAGGAAAAATACAAAGTTAAACCACATCAAATACGCACTTCATAATTAAATCACCTAAACCAGTAATAAATAGGAAAAAAAAAGAACAGAAAAATTATACATTGGGGGGCAAGATAGGAATAATTGCATACTTCTCGTTAGAAACAATGCAAACTAGGACTTAATGGAAAGCATCTTTAAAAGCAAACAAACTGGGAATCTAGTTCAGGGAGCACAGAACTACATTTCTAGATTGTTTAAAAAAAGCTTTTTCAGAGGATGTCTCTGAAGTTGTCCACATTGGCTGCTACTTGCTACCTTCCTGTCTCAGCCTCCCTAGTAGCTGGGGTTACAGGTGTGTGCTACCTCTCCTTGCTGGAGTAGCATCTTTATAGCAATGAAATAAAAAACTGTAATCTAGAATTCTACATCCAGTAGAAAGAAATCCTTCAAAATTT